GCCAAACATCCACACCCGTCCACATGTCACATCTCACCACAACTCATGGGTCCCACCACCCTGCGTGTTTATCTGCAGCACTGCAGTAGCTTCTAGCAATTTACCATCTCTCCCTTGACCTGACAGACTATTCTGTTCATGTCACTACCCTCCAATGGTTTCTCCTTACAGTTAAAAATCCAAACTCCATATCATGGTTCCATAAACCTTGCACAAATCCTACATAACATCTCATTCCTTGACTCCCCATCTCAATCTTAACACTAGCTCTGTTAGCTTTCCTTTTTCTTTATCACACTGAGTTCATGCCCACTTCAAGACCATTATTTTCCTTTTGCCTGGACTGCTCTTTTCCTTTCATCTTTGTGTAGTCTGGTGAAATGTGAGGTCTTATCTGATAACCTATCAAAAAATAGCTGTCATCTCTCCCATCCCTACCCTAAGCTACTCTGTGCTCTTGCCCTGTTGTATTTTCTTCATAGAACTTAATACTTTCTAAAATTATCTTGCTTATTCTTTATTCTTCTTCCTCACTGAAATGTAAGCACCAAAAAAAGCAGAATTCTCTTCTGTTGATCACCAGCTCCAGGGCCTAAAACCCCTATGGCATTAATACCATCTATCTTTATGTTAACAACTGCTGAATTTGTACATCCAACCTTTACCATTGGACTCCAGAACTGTGTATGTAATTGCCTACTCAACATTTCAAAACACCTGGAAATCTTAATGTCACTGCAGACTGAATAAATCCCAAACAGGAGACCCTCCTGCCTACTTGCCTCTCCTCCCACGGTAAATGGCATTACCATCCATTCAATGGTAAAACTTAGAAACCCAGGAGCAGGCTTGCCTCTGCCTCCTCCCTGCTCCCCGTAACTGGTCTGTCACCAAACGGGATTGCTTGTACCTCCTGATCTCTCTTCATTTCCTCTGCCACTAGCTGCCCTTGTCCAAGCTAAATCACCGACACATCAAGGTCTTTACCTAGTCCACTGCATTAGCCCAACTGGTTTCTCACTTGGCTTCCATTCCAGTTCCCCCCACCATCCATTCTATATATAATAGCCAGGATGAGTTTTCAGAACACAAATCTGATGAGTCATCCAACAGCCTAAAGCCTCAGTGGCTTCCCGTTGCTTAGAGTAAAACCTTCAAATACCCTGATTTCTCATGGTCTGACTGACATCTACTTCTCCAAATTTACTTCCCTCTCTTCTCACCTGTGTCCTCTTCAGTTACGCCTCATTGGCTGACTGTTGTATCCCAGGGCCCAGTGCAATGCCTGCCTCACAGTGTGCACCACTGTGAAATGGATGATCCTAATAGATAACAGGATGTTACATCAAGAATTTAAGAAATGAGGTCTTTTTAAAGCCTGAAATAAAAACAGAAGGATAGATATGAAAGAAAACCATCAGTAGACCTGTTCATAGAGAAGGCACAAAAGAGATAAAAGTGAAACTCCCGATTTCAGAGATGTCGCTGTAGGTAACAGTGGCGATCAGGTGGAAGTGTCTAGGTGGCCTCTGAAGACCGAGAGCCAAAACTGGAAAACATGTGGACTCAGGTAGGTAAGCCTTGCAGACGTGCATGTGGTTTCCAAGGGGAGGGAAGGTGGGGCTAAATCTTGAGCAAACTCCCGTGGCTTCCTTTCCTAGGAAGGAGAGGTGGAGGGGTGATCAAAGAGGTCAGGGAGAATCAGAACGGTTTACTTTTCAAAGGAGGAGTAGGGGGGGTTGTCGAAAAATGCTAAATATTTCAATCCACCAGGAGGGATGACTTAGTGGAGGGGGAAAAAATCTATTTGGCTCAAAAATCAAAATGATATAAAGATGTACATTGGAACAGTTGCTCCCTCCCAGTTCTTTCCCTGTGTGTTCCTCAACACTTTATTAGTGATTCTTAATGTAAATATAGGCGAACAAGTATGGGAAAGGGCCTTTTGCTTGTTAGAGGAAGTTCTTGGTCATCAATGAGAGTGTGGTTTGAAGGAAATGAGAGGGGAGAAGTTACATCACAGTGATGCCGGGGTTCTTGTTCACGAAGCCGAAGAATGAGCTTCACAAACACTCAAGGTAGGAGAGCAAGGTACAGGCTTTTATTTAGAAGTAAAGTGAGAAGACAGAGCTCCCGGCTCACGCCGGGATGGGACAAGAGAGCCCGTGATGAGGCGTTGTCTAGGGGTTTTATAGGCAATTGAGGAATTTTGGGAACGTGAAAAAAAGGCTTAGGGGTGTGGACTTGTACCACCTGCCCTGCCCTCAAGGTGGGCTGGGCTATTGTCTGTCTGCTAGGGCTCTTTACAGTGAAGTCACCGCTTATGCTGATATCCTTGTGCAACACTCAAACATTCCAGGCCAAGTTGCTCCCGGCCTTTTGACCTTTAACTGATCTCACTGAAGACGTCTGTATTCTTAGTCTGGTATCTTTCCCTAGAGAATTAGTGTGACTTTGACTTTGTATAATGCTTAACACAAAGAGTTTCAATAGGGACTTCTTTGCCCATTGCTACATTGCTCTGATCAGATATTCCACCCTGCTTTTCCTGGAGGCCCTCACCCTACTCTGTCTAAGCCTACGGTTCCTGTCTCAACAGTGCTAAGGACTACAGCAAGGAGGGGAATGGATTTGTTGAACAGAAGAAGGTCCTGGACACCGAGCTAGGGAGTCAGCATCTATTCTTAGCCTTTGCTTCTCCTGTTACATCTGGGGGGTCATCAGCCATGTTTCACAGGTGAAAAAACCCTAGTACCAAACGATTAAGTAATTGCCAAAGTCACACAGCTAATAACTGGCAGTGCCAGGAATGGTTGCTGAAGAAGCAGCTGTAAAGAGCAGTTTCCATGTTCAACAGGTAACAGGGCAAGGGAAGATGTTGCAACAGTGGAAGAGACGTGTGCATTTAAAAAAGAGAAGTGAGGTAGCACTGAAGAGACTAAACATTCGAGATAAAATAATTGAAAGGGCAAGATCCTTTCCTGAATGAAGAGAGAGATTGAAGGCAGAAGCTCCTATTTGAAGGAGGAAAGTAACAGCAAAGTGAAGCAGAGGCAGGGGAGAGGCCTGAAAGACAGGACAGCTGAGTCTGCAAGAGTGGGAAGTGAGAATAGTAAACCCCACAGAACGTCAAGGCCGAAGCACTCAGTGGAAAGGTGCAAGGAATAAATTCTTCATCTTCCCAGAATGTCTGCCCTCACCCCCAAAACCAGTCCTCTGAAGTGGAGGAAGACCTGGATGAAGAACTCAACCAGCTGATGGCCAGGTATCTGGGACTGGCACTGCACTCAGTTCTGACTGCTAATTCTGGAGCCCAGGTGGAGAAAGCAGGATCCGCGGAATGAGGACACTAAAGAGGTGTGAGGCTGGGGGAAGTGGAAGTGCAATGTCAGGACCTGACATGGATCTTGGCTATTATGGGCCTTATTTATTTCTGAGCTAGGCTCCTTTGGGCAACATTCATCCACTAAGCAAACACTGCTAGAGCACCAACACTATGCAAGATCCCGTGCTAAGTGCCAGGGACACAGGTGACCAAGGTAGACATGCTCCCTGCCCACACTGAGGTTGCCATCAATGGAAAGGCAAACAACACTTAATTCTGGTGAGTTATTAGAAGCCTATAAAAAGCCAGATCCCTCATCATTCATGAAATCACAGAGTTGGGGAGGGAGAACACTACAGGGTGGTCCATGTGTTTGTTTTTTTTATTAAGGTATGATTGATACACACTTATGAAGGTTTCCCATGAAAAAACAATGTGGTTACTACACTTACCCATATTAAGTCCCCACCATACCCCAATGCAGTCACTGTCCATCAGTGCAGCAAGATGCCACAGATCCACTATGTACCTTCTCTGTGCTACACTGTTTCCCCATGATCCCCCACACCATGTGTACTAAACATAATACCCTTCAATCCCCTTCTCCCTCCCCACATGCCCTCCCACACCCCTCCCCTTTGGTAGCCACTAGTTCATTTTGGAGTCTCTGAGTCTGCTGCTATTTTGTTCCTTCAGTTTTGCTTCATTGTTATACTCCACAAATGAGGGAAATCATTTGGCATTTGTCTTTCTCCGCCTGGCTTATTTCACTGAGCATAATGTCCTCCAGCTCCATCCATGTCGTTGCAAATGGTAGGATTTGTTTCTTTCTTATGGCTGAATAGTATTCCATTGTGTCTATGTACCACATTTTCTTTATCCATTCATCTACTGATGGACAGTTTGCTTCCATGTCTTGGCTACTGTAAAAAGTGCTGTGATAAACATAGAGGTGCATATGTTTTTTTGAATCTGAGAAGTTGTATTCTTTGGGTAAATTCCAAGGAGTGGGATTCCAGGTCAAAGGGTATTTCTATTTTTAGTTTTTTGAGGCATCTCCATATAGCTTTCCACAATTGTTGAACTAGCTTACATTCCCACCAGCAGTGTAGGAGGGTTCCCCTTTCTCTGCATCCTCACCAGCTTTGTTGTTCTTAGTCTTTTCGATGCTGGCCATCCTTACTGGTGTGAGGTGATATCTCATTGTGGTTTTAATTTGCATTTCCCTGATGATTAGTGATGTGGAGCATCTTTTCATGTGTCTGTTGGCCATCTGAATTTCTTCTTTGGAGAACTGTCTCTTCATATCCTCTGCCCATTTGTGAATCGGGTTATTGCTTTTTGGGTGGTGAGGCACATCAAGTTCTTTATATATTTTGGATGTTAACCCCTTGTCAGATATGTCATTTACAAATATATTCTCCCATACTGTAGGATGCCTTTTTGTTCTGTTGATGGTGTCCTTTGCTGTACAGAAACTTTTTAGTTTGATGTAGTCCCATGAGTTCATTTTTGCTTTTGTTTCCCTTTCTGGAGGAGATGCGTTCAGGAAGAAGTTGCTCATGCTTATAGTCAGGAGATGTTTGCCTATGTTGTATTCTAAGAGTTTTACGGTTTCATGACTTATATTCAGGTCTTTGATCCATTTTGAGTTTACTTTTGTGTATGGGGTTAAACAATAATCGTTTCATTCTCTTGCATGTAGCTGTCCAGTTTTGCCAACACCAGCTGTTGAAGAGGCTGTCATTTCCCCATTGTGTTTCCCTGGCTCCTTTATCATATATTAATTTGGTCCATATGTTTTTGAGTGAATCTGTGAATAAGTGAAAGCAGAAATGGAAAGGTGACAGGAAAAGAAGTTATTGTCAAAGATACGATCTTAAAGCCTTGAGATCTAATATCCCTGTTTTAATATCCCTGAAGTATTATGGTTACTGGGAAAGGGTAGTTCACCCCAGCAAACAAGCTGGGGAATCAAAATGGAATTCCCCTGGGAGGTCTCTTTATAGTGAGGAACTCAAACTTAATTTCACAGCTGCGATGTTTGATACTGTTGCACAGGGCAAGGGTACATTTGGAGCTGTTAAGAACCAGGTGTCCAGAGCCTACCCACCTGCATTTAACTCCTAGCTCACTCCTTTCTACACAAGCCATCTCGACACTTAACTTGCCCACGCCTAGTTCTGTCATCTGCAAAATAGGGATCATAATGGCTAGCATTTATACAAGTGCACCAAGGGCTTTACTTGTATTATTTCACTTAATATCTGAACAACTCAGGATCTTCACAAGGATTAAGTGAGATCACGTGTGTAAAGCACGCCTGACAGTGCCTGATACCTACCTAGCACGACCCCTACAAATGTTAGGGTTTTTATTATTATTGGCCAACCAGGGGAAAAAATGGGACTGTCAGGGAACATTTTCTGGACTGCATCTTAAGTAGGAAGTATTGAGAAAAGAGGGAGGTGTTCTAGGACAGGGGGATGCCTTCACCAAGCCATAGTGTGACCTGGCATGGTGTGTGCTGAGGATGATAAGGCATAATGGCCAGAAGTGCAGAATCTGAGGTCCAAAGGCCCCACTTATAAGTGGATGACCCTCAGCAAGTCACTCAGCTTCAATGAGTGGCAGATCCAGCACTTGCTGCAGTCCATTTTTTTTTTGTATCATTAATCTACAATTACATGAAGAACATTGTTTACTAGACCTCCCCCTTCACCAAGTGCCCCCCACGTACACCATTATGCAGTCCATTTTTACTGCAGTCTCGTGCAAGGGGCTCACTTGTAACTCAGTAAGTGCCGCTTTCCCTTGGGCATTCTCATTTCTCCTCAGAACCGTGTTCGGTGCCACACTGGCAGTAGGAGCGTTGGAGAGAGAACCTACGATAATAATTGGTAAAAGGAAAAAAAGGAGGGTTTTCCCAGTGTCCTAGACTTCGTTCTAGTACCCAATCCTCAACAGGAATCTTAAACGCAGTTATCGCTGTACCTTTTCTCAGATGGGGAAACTGAGGCGCAGAGCAGCTAATTAACTTATGAAGCGCTAATCACATTCCTTATAAACGAAGAGAAACTTATTAACCCTCCACAGGCAACAGCCGAAAGACGGCCACTTCAGGACCTCGGGTCTCCCGGCGCCCCCGGGGCGGAACCACAGCGGAAGTCCCGCCCCCGGGCTTCCGCTTCCGCCCTCTCCGTCCGGATCAGCTCTCGCGGGGTGGAGATTCCGGAATGGCTGCTGCAGGCGATGGTGGTGGGCAGCAGGCGGCCTGCGGGCACGACAGCTACCGCTCGCCGCTTGCCTCCCGCTACGCCAGCCCTGAAATGTGCTTCGTGTTTAGTGACAGGTACAAGTTCCGGACGTGGCGGCAGCTCTGGCTGTGGCTGGCGGAGGCCGAGCAGGTGAGGCGCCGCGGGCGGGGCCAGGCCGGGAGAGACGGGCGGGCCCGCCCCGCCCCAGCACGTGGCTGGCCCCGCTCCGAGCACAGCTTAGTCGCCCGGGGGCTCGCCCGGCATTCTTCGGCCGGGTGTTCTCTTTTTGAGGAGCCGCGGCTCCAGGAAGGCCAGGGCTGGAGTCCCGGAAGCTGCCACCTGTTGCCTCAAGTGTTTTTAGTCCTCGGGGGTTAGAGACGCGGAGAATCGACGAGAAGTGAGCTGTTGGCAGGGAATTCATCTCGGCAGTTCCTGCGGAAATATGCTGCTAGCCACGGACCCTGAGCGCTCGTTAGGCGCCCTTGTGCTGATTTCTTCTCTTAACACGTTTTTTTCCTGCTGTGCACATTAAGTGGTGATTTTCCATATTATAGGGGAGAAAACCAAGCCTCGATGATAAAAACAAGCGCCTTATTTGCTCCTGACCATTCATACGGGACCCGGGGTGTGAACCTGGGTGGAATGCAGAGCCCGAACGCTTAGCCACATCGTTTTACATAGTGCCTCCTTGTAGTTAGTGACAGGGTTGTCGCTGCAAAGTCCATGTCTCCTAGGCCACTATTTCCGCTTCATGGCTGCGTTTTGCCTCTGAGGAGGGATAATCAGGGTACGAGTTTATTAGATGGGATTTATGGATTCTCCTAGAAGAGCTACGTATAGAGCTTTTCAGCCCAACGGTTTCAGAAATAGCTCCAGAGGGCCCTTCCCTGAGGAGTTGAAGGAAACTCAAGGTGATCCAGAGAGCTATAAAGTTTCAGAGGAAAATGTCACACCAAGCAGCTGGCAGGGTTCTCTCAAATGGCATTAGTGAGCACGGAAACATTCTTGAGTACTTGCCTGGGACCAAGGTACAGTAGAACTCCCCCGATAGCAGACTTTCATCTTTGATTTTACTCCTTACCAATCACTGTGCTTAAGAAAATGAAGTGACATAATAATAGACATTTTCATAGTGCCTACTATGTGCCAGGCACAGTTTTAAGACGGCAAATTAATAGCTCATTAATCCTCAAAAACAACCTTTTATGGTACTCTTTTAAAGACGTTTTATAGATGATCAGATGGAGGCCCAGAGAGATTTCATAAATGTTGGCTCAGATAACAAAATGGAGAGTAGAAGAGGATATTAATGGTAATTGTGGTATATCTCCTACTAGCGTGTACTCTTATTTTCAATTCCACTTGATACTCCATTAAGTGGATTAGGATGGTAGCATTTGAAGACTTTGCCAGGGTCACCGTAGCTAGTAAATGATTTCAAGCTCGTATTGAAATGTAAAGTCATCTGAAAGAATGTGTTCTTTCCTTTGCCTAGTCAGCACATTGCCTGAAATGCATATAATTTTGATATAGTCAGCTGCGTTTGGATTATCTATTAACGTTTCAAAATTAGCATAAATTACATACTAATTTAGTAGTTAGGGAAAAAAAAACTTGAGGGAGAAGAGATTAGGAGAAGTGCAAAAAATTAGGAGTGGGGAATGAACTTTGACAGCTTGACCACGCTGTCCCCTGCTGCTTTGCCTTGGGAGGAGCCCTGGGATGTCACATCTACTGGTGAAAGATCACAGGCACATATGTCTGTCACATGTAGCTACTGAGCACTTGAAATGTGGCTGTTGTGACTCAGGAACTGAATTTTTGCTTTTTAATTTTAATCAGTTTAAATGTAAATAGCCATAGCTGGCTAGTAGTTACCCTCTTGGACAAGACAGGTCTAAGGGCCAAAGCTTGGGAATTTCAAGTGAAGTTTGAATACATTTTACCAATGTGTATATTCAGCGCTTGGATCCCAGGTTCTCAACTGTGGGCTAAGCAGATACTTTTTCCAACCTGATTTTTCTGGTGATGGAGGAATGTAAAGTGTGATGTGTTTATTTTCTCATCAATATCTCCTGCAGTTGCTTTCAGTTGCATTGAGTGTGCTATACATAAGTTATTGGCAAAACCGCTTAGCATTCCTAATTTTGGCTTATTTGAATAAATCCATCTGGGTCAAATACAAAGCTGTGGCCTGGATCCCATATTTTGGGAACTTACATGCCAAGTACTAAGGAGTAAGCAATAGATATAACAAAGCTGTCTTCTCACAGAGTATACATTTTAGAGGGGAGGGACAGGCTAATACATTTGTTACATTTGTTAAATGTCATGTGATGACATTTTAAAATATTATATCTATTTAAAACCTGCTTAAATAAAACCAGGGTAAAGGAAGGGATAGAGAGTCACAGAGAGGAAGGATGTTTCACACTGAAATCAGAAAAGATGTTTCTGAGAAGATTTGAGCCCAGAGACCATAAAATGTGAAGAAGTGAGCCAAGCAGACGGAGAGGGAACAAAGATCAGGATTACATTATTGTATGTATTGGAGTTTACTTAGAATATAATTTACCATGATTCAATGGGAACATTGTCCCCTCCTCCCCACGTACTTTCAGTTGTTCCACATTTTAATTTGAGAATTGGGAGGTAGGACATAAATGCTAATATGAGCCCTTTTTTTATTGATTTTAAATAATTGTGACACCTTGGGGCTATTCTATTTTATTTTGCCTGTCCTGCAGACATTAGGTTTGCCTATCACAGATGAACAAATCCAGGAGATGGGATTAAACCTGGACAACATTGACTTCAAGATGGCAGCTGAGGAAGAGAAACGGTTAAGACATGATGTGATGGCTCATGTGCACACCTTTGGCCACTGCTGTCCAAAAGCTGCCAGCATAATTCATCTTGGAGCCACTTCCTGCTTTGTTGGAGACAATACAGTAAGAGCCCATCTTATTTTGTTTCCACTTAAGACTCTGTCATGCTTTTATAAATTGTGTTTGATTTTGCCTGATTTTAGGAGGTGACTCCATAGATCTTTACTTGTTAGGAGTATCTGAACACTCAGGAATTTTCTGCTTTTGGTATCCTTCCAATCCAAAAACTATAGCTCCTAATGACCCCCATAAAGTAAGACCTACAGATACTGTTTACACATTGATAGGCTGCACATAAGCCAAGGTCTTAGCATTTAGCACTTCAGCATCTTAAGTAGTACATAATTAAAGTCATCTGTGTATAATGGTGAGCCAAGTAATGGAACTAATGGAGGTAATTTTCCAAAGGGATTTTCTTTCCAGGGTCCTTTGTAACTCTGCTGTGACTTCTGAAAATAAGAAAGGGATTGCAGTGTAATTCTTAGTAAAAGCATCTTATAGTCAAATAGGAAAAAGAAACAGCATGAATTTTCCTAAAAGTTTACTGCCTGGCACTGTTCTAAGCACTTGGTATTTATTACTTCATTTGTTCTTCACAACAACCATGAGAGATAATGCTAGTATATCCATTTTTAAACAGCTTTATTGAGATACAATTATATACTGTAAATACTATAAATTCACCCATTTTAAATGTACAGCTTAATGAATATTAGTAAAATTATGCAGTTTATCCTTCACCACATGCCAGCTTTGGGAGCACATCCCTCCCCCTAAGAAATTCTCTTGTTCCTGTTTGCAGTCAGTCCCCACTCCTGCTTTAAGACCCAGCCAACCACTGAGCTGCCTTCTGTTTCTGTAGTTTTGCCTTTTCTAGTAATTTCATATAAATGGAATATGTAGTCTTTGGAATCTGGCTTTATTATCCCTAGCTGTACAGATGAAGACACTTAAGGAAAGGTCGAACAACTTGCCCAAGGTTACACAGGTAGGCAAGATACAAGCCCAGGTAGAAAGGCTCCCTAGCTGTGCTCTGACTCACCGTGCACCCGTGTGACCAGAACTTAGATTCCAGGTACACTTCAATTCAGAAAGAAGCCACTCATTTTTAAGTTGCCCCCAAATACTTTTTTAGTCTTAAGTGGTACATAATTTAAGACATTTGTGTATAATTGATGAGCCAAATAATGGAAAAGCAGTCCCCTCACTTAGAATATATACTTTTAAAAAGTGTCCAATGTGTAGTTGGGTTCAGTAATTGCTGTCTCATAGAAGCATGTGTTGGAGTTGCCTGAAATAAATCTCTTTATCTCCCTCAAGAATAGTTTTATGTTTCCTAAACCTTGATGTTTTGGTTCATGTCCTTTTTTTAGCAATGATAAACATGAAAAAATAGAGTAAACTAATGGAAAGTACCTATGGGAGTTTCTCAGAAACTCAAGCACTCCTCTCTGGAAAGATAGAAAACTTGTTGACCTGTATGTCTTTGCAGTTTTCAGGATAAGGGTTTACCCCTTAACTCTTTTCTAGTTATTTTGGATACCACCTAAATTGGGCTTTATAAGTATAAAGGCTTTGCTCCTAGTAATTCCCAGTAGTGCCACTCCCTAAGTCACTGTGCTTTTAAACCAGCAGTAGTCACAAAGAACAGCTGCTGTTGGCCTCTTTTGGCTTCACACGGGCATGCTGATAGTGAGACAGGCAGCTGGTCGAGCATCCCAGCTGTGATGGCCGGAAAGTGTCATGTGATGGTACTGTTTGAACAAAGCTGTTTAAGACCACTGCATTTTCCTTTGCAGGACCTGATTATTCTTAGAAATGCATTTGACTTGCTCTTGCCAAAGGTAAGGAGTTGGCAGAAGTTTTCTACTAGCCCTAGATTCCTTATGAGAGGAGATGGACACCTCTTAAGAGTAAATCTGAATCAGTTATTGTTGACTCCAGTGACTGATCCCATATCTGATCTGTAGAACTAATTGTTCCTTTGGGGTTAAAACACTGCAAGTGAATGCTG